AGGGGAAATGGCGATTTTTATAAGGTAATATAGTCTTGAGTCATTGCTTTGTTATAGTGAATTGACTTTTTTGCCCTTATTTGTCCTTTCTCTGAAATGGTTACATTTGTTTAGTGTCTTGGGTGTTAGTTTGGCCTTTGGGAACAAAAGTTATTTTCTAGTTACTCTTGTTGGTTTTGTAAATAAATTCTACTGAGGATTTAAATTGATACATTATTTCTCTGAATCTCTGGAATTATTACTTTTGGGTCCTGTAATTGTAGGTTCGATTTGCATTGATGGCAATCTTTAGGAATACTTAACGATTACATTTTTCTTATCCCTGTACCATCGGATGCAGTTGGTATAGGTTAACCTGGCCACTTGGCTACTGAAAGAAAGCTCTAGGGTCATCTGTAAGTAACAGGAGGATCTTGGTGAGACGAGAGGTAGTTGAAGACAGGTGCCGTGTTGGATTAGAGCCACTACTAGAGTATTTTGGTTGACTTCTTTATACCTTTTGTTTTGAGATTTTTAGCAATACCAAATAATGCAGAGAAATTCTTTTGATTCCTGCCTTTTAGAATCTCTGGACAAGTGGGAGCGTCTCACGGTAGCTGATGCTTTGGAACCAGTGCAGTTTGAAGACGGGCAGAAGATTGTGGTGCAGGGGGAGCCGGGAGATGAGTTCTTCATTATTTTAGAGGTAAAGACGGGGCAGCACCGGGCGGGGAATAGGGGACACCAGTTCTCATTTACAGCTACCGTTCTTAAGATAAACAGTTTTATTTAAAAATTATCGTTCCCTTTGAAATGTCGTTGTTTGGCTTTCGGCCAGGCCACCACATTTTAAATGAGGGCTTTGCGTGAAGTAATAGCCGAATTCTGACCTACTCGAATTAATTCTCCTCACAGAAGCCAAACAGAACTCAGCCATTTAGCACACAGGCTGTGATGCACTGCACCGTTCTTGTTAAAATCATGCATTTGGGCTAATTTGGCAAACAGGATCAAAGGCAGGTATTTAAATTCTAAATGTTACCATGTTTTATATCGTCACAATCCATGGAAATGTATAGCAGATACTCTTGCCAGCCAAGGAGATCCACAGAGCAGATTCGCTGTGAATGTGGCTCAGTAGATGCTAATCGGTGTTGTTTAAACCAGGGGTTGAGGAAGTCTTTCTGTAAAGGGCCAGACAGTAAGTAATTTAGGCATTTATGAGCCATAGTGTTTCTGTTGCAGACTCAACTCTTGTCATAGTGGGGAAGCAGCCATGGACAGTATCTAAATGAATTGGTGTATTATTCCAATAAAATTTTATTTATAAAAGCAGTGAGCTTGGATTTGGCCCTCCTTCTACAGCTTGCTAACCTGAGTCTGAACCCTCGAAGTACCTCAGCGTGATGAGAAGTACCTCCTAGCAGGAACTGCTGGGGTAAATAAGCATCAAGCCTGTAGTGACTCTTCAATTACCGTTTATCACATGAACACAGAGGATTTGAAATAACTGCTGAGTCTTTTTTTTTTTTGCAGAGTAGCTAAAATTGCACAGGATATTTAAAATGCCACCCAGGATCTGAAAGTATTAATGTGTTTTGCTTTTTGGTGATTTTGTTATAGGGTTCAGCTGCTGTGCTACAGCGTCGTTCAGAAAATGAAGAATTTGTTGAAGTGGGAAGATTGGGGCCTTCTGATTATTTTGGTATGTGGATTTCCTCACAATAAACACATAGTTTCTGTAAGTCACTTCTCAGTGAGCTATCACAGTCTTTCATAATCTTGCCTTTTCTTCTCCTGAATTTTATTTTTTTATTTTTATTTATTTATTTATTTATTTTTTGCTGTATGCGGGCCTCTCACTGTTGTGGCCTCTCCCGCTGCGGAGCACAGGCTCCAGACGCGCAGGCTCAGCGGCCATGGCTCACGGGCCCAGCCGCTCCGCGGCATGTGGGATCTTCCCGGACCGGGGCACGAACCCGTGTCCCCTGCATCGGCAGGCGGGCTCTCAACCACTGCGCCACCGGGGAAGCCCTGAATTTTATTTTTTATTTTAGTTTTCGGCTCTCAGAGAAGTAGTGTGAGATTTTGACCTCGACTCAGTTAATAATTAAGTTATTGATTGTCTCATATCTGTCAGTTGGTTTTTTCCTGAGGTGCAGATGTAGTGTGGCCTGTACTGAGTTACTAGGAGGAAAAATACGGGTTTTCTTTTCCCCGGAGGGTGCCCCTCAGAAGACGTTTCTGAGGGAGCTAGCCCACCCTCAGCCCTTTCCCTCCTGCAGGCGAAATCGCGCTGCTCATGAATCGTCCTCGCGCTGCCACCGTGGTTGCCCGTGGCCCGCTGAAGTGCGTCAAGCTGGACCGCCCGAGGTTTGAACGTGTTCTTGGCCCGTGCTCGGACATCCTCAAACGGAACATCCAGCAGTACAACAGTTTTGTGTCCCTGTCCGTCTGAAACCTGCTTCCCGTGCCTCCCTTCCGCCTCTCCCTGTCCAGGCTTCCCCACGCAGACTGCTCTCTGGCCCCTCTTTGCAGCGCCACGTGGCCAGTGGCATCGCAGCTTCTTGTCGGTTTCTGTTAAAAGTTGCTCTTATTGCACCATTTTTATTTTGGAGCATTAACTGAGTGCTCATACACAGTTAAATAAATAGAAAGAGTTCTGTGGAGACTTGGCTGTTCCTGCTTCTCTGTGCAGTGTTAGTGTTCACCCTGGGCCGCGCGTGCCATGCTTTCTGGTGAGGGCAGACCCTGCGCCACATGAGTTACCGTAGAGTCATGATGTAACCGTGCAAGATTGCCTTTCAAGTGACAGAAGTTTCCTGTTGCCATAAGCAGATTCTAGACTGTGGCCATATATGCTATATTTTATAGAATAAACGATTTCTCATTAAGCTCTGAGGATTAGGAAAAACAGATATAGAAAAATCTTAGTATAGTAGAAAGACATCTGCCTGTATTTAAACTAGTTTAAGGGTGAAAAAATGCCCATTTTTGCTAATTATCAGGTGGAAATGACCTGTTCAGTTCTTTTTCTTTTCTTTTTAACAAGAATTTTTATTTGTCAGGCGACTTTGCCTGGTTTTGTTTATATCTTGTTCTCAGTGTGTCCTCTCCAGTTCTAAAATATGTTGAGGAGTGGCTGTCTATACCTACCTGCCTTTTAAGGTCACACCAAGTCATAAGCTGCAAACATTGGGTAAAGACTGCACTGCATCGGCCTCAGCTCACAGACCGATCACACCTTCACTTACCCAGCTGGTGCCAGATGGTGACCATCACACGCTGAGTTGAGAAGAAGAATTTGAGGTCTGCACTCTGGTTGCTAACTTAGAGCTTTGGGTTAATGTGTATCCTTCAGTTGAGTCCAGGATAATAATCTCTTACGCTCTTTAAGCACTGATTCCAGGAGATTGGATTTACTGGGAAAAGACAGACTAAATGTCGTAAGCGAAAAATGGAGGTGGGATTGCTAAAGGGAGAAGTGGCAGGTGGACAAAGCTCAGTGTTGGGAGCTCTGCCCCACTCAGTTCACTGGGGCAGGAGATTTGGGAAGAAGTGTTTTACTTTGCTTTAACCTTTCCTCCCCTGTTTACGTCAACTAGAATTTATGGTGGGTTGCGGGGTGGGGTGGGATGTGTTTGTGTTTCATATTGGTCTAAAAGGCCATCCTACTGAAAAGTTCTGCTTTCCTATCTACCACCGTATTTCTCTGGCAAACTTTTTTGTGTAAACGAGTGTTTTGAGTCTTAACTTTATTTCAGTATTTTCCAGCCTTATCAAGGTTATGTGTTGTTACATTATTCCATGTGCACCAATGATACCCAACTGTTTATTTTTATTATTGTTATTTTTTGAAACAAAATTTCACAGTTCCATAATGTAGGCACTTTTATTTGCATTGTGATTTATATAGTATATAGGGTTATATTGGGGGTGACTGCAAGCATTTTTTCCATCTGTGTGCATCTGGCTCTGATTTTTAATCCCCTCTCCTTCCCCTTTCCCAGGTAATTTAAATTGGTCATGGTAAATTTTTTTCATAGATTTGAACAGCTTTTGGGTTGTTACTAAGTTTGGAGTATAAATCTGGGAAAGAGATTTTATTTACATTTTAGTGTGGGATAGAAAGCCATCTTATTTCAAATTTTTTATTTTTCAAAATAATCTTTACTAAATGAGGATTTTCTGGTCTGTATTTTGTGTTTAGCTTTTTATATTTAAAAGATTAAAAATAAAAATTATGTTATTAGCTTAAAGCTTGATTTGATCTTTGTTTAAATGCCAAAACTGTACTTAACTAAATTATTTAGAATGCCATAAGTTTGCAGAGTTTCATATATGTATATAATCATGCTCATGTGTATGTTCAGATTCATAACAGTGATTTCTAAATGAGTTTTGTTCTTAAATCATTTGGCTTTGCTGTTTACTCCCTTTTGTAATTTTTAATCTAAGAAAATTTAAGTCTGAATTTTAAAATGATCACATTTAAAGCCTTATCTTTGTGCAGTCTATGTGAGAAATCACGATTGGCATCATTTGTCTCAGTGGATATTCAGGGCTTTAGAAGTCATTATTTCTGGGCTTGGTAAGTGGATTTATGAGCTCCACTGCTCTAGAAAGCGTAGATGGCCAAAGGACCATTTTGTATTGTTGCCTGGTCACTAGTCTGATTATACTGTGTGTGCTAATATACCCTCTTCTTTTTGTTATAGATTGTCTTAATGGTAGGTCAAGTAATAAAAAAGATTAAATAATTTAATTCTCTAACGAATCAGTTTTTCTTCCCTTTCTCCTTTGCTTCTCTTCTTCCTCTCCCCCCCACCCCCGAAGCTGCTAATCCGGTGGGCATGAGTGCAAATCGAAAGTGAATTAGGGGATCGGTGTTTTGAAACAATAATGTGTTTGTTTTCAGTGTTTTCCAATTCAGTTTGTCAAAGAATGAATCTAAAAACCTTTCTTTAAGGGTAATTGAGGTGTAGCAGATCTGTACTGAGCAATGGAAGGAAAACAATAAATCAGAGGTCAAAGATTTCCTTTTTATTGAGGGTAGACTGGTTCTCTGGCTTTGGAACTTTCCCACACTTAATGGGGGATGTCATTTCTAGGTCAGCATACTCTTTGGTTTAAATTTAATATGTGCATTCATATATTTAGGTATGCTTCTATATTTCGCATACATACAAAGTCATTTCTAACATTTCTCATTTCTGAGGCGGGGACGATTAAATTGAATTCATTAGCATATTGGAATTAATTCATTTACATCCAGTGAAGTTGGAGATAATGTTGTATTGCCCAGAACACTGCTTAAGCTGTGCGACTTTGTAACACATGCACTTTGTCCAGATTCAGTAATCCCCTCCCTCAACCTGCTGGAGTTGGAACCTTTTGAGTCACAACAGAATATAACTGAAGAACATTTTCCTGGGTTGACTGTACTGCTGGTTGTAGTTTAATTTTCCCTCTAAAACACTGGCTTATATGAAATCCCTTTTTGTATTTTAATGACTTAAATATTGACAGTGTAAAATTGAAGTAGTACGATGTTAGTTTTCTTAATATTGCTTTCTCTCCAACCACAGATGAACAGCTGAACCCTTTTTGTATTTTTGTTAGGCCCTGGCAGTGTACTTCTAGATGGGCTGAAACAACATGGAGAAGCAGTGTGTTGATCGCCATCATAATAGCCATCAGGAAAGACTGTGGAGAGAACATAAAAGGGAGAATGGTAAATCTCTCCCTTCTTACCCTAAGGAGTTTCACACAGCAGTCAGTGTTACTGTGTGCGTTATAAAGTTAAAATTTGTGGACTGACAGAAGTCCAGAGCTGTGACTGCATCTTGATGCTGCCTAAAAACCCAAGCCACTAATGAGCAGAATTTTTTCGTTTTGCGAAAGCTCTCTGCCAGTGTAGCTTAAGTAGCTTTGTGGTTTTCTAAGTCACCACTAGATGGAGGGCTTTTTATCATCTTTGTTAGCCTCAAAGTCAGTTACAGTCGGTCCTCGTTGTTCACGGATGCTATATTTGCGAACTTTGCAAATTTGCGTACTTGCTGAAATTCATTTGTAACCCCCAAATCAGTACTCCCGGCACTGTCACAGTCATTCCCAGACTTGAGTGGAGAGGGGCCCGCGTCTCCCGACACGCGAGTGCCTGGCGGAGGTCAGACCAGGCACACTCTGCCTTCTAGTTTCAGCTGGGATCAGATGCCCTTGTTTTGGTCTATTTAGTGCCACTTTTTTGCATTTTTGTACTTCCTGTTGGTGATTTCTCTATTTAAAGTGGCCCCCAGAGGAGTGCTCGTGTCCTGGTTGGGGGTCCCGAGGGTGAGATGGCTGTGGTGGGTCTCTAGAGGGGTACGTGTCAGCCAGCTTCTCTCAGGCGTGAGCGGCAGCGCCGTTGGCCGAGCTCAGTGTTCATGAAGCAACAGTGGATACTAACTGAGGTGTCTTCAACACACCGTAACACAGGAATCAAGATTGTGTATTGGTAGGTTGACAGGAATGTCACCAGAGGCTCTCACAGGAACCTATAGCCCTGTATCGCTTCTAGGGGAAGGCGGCTGTCTCCGCTGATTCCATGTCCTTGGTGACTCATCAACCATAAAACTACCACAGATAAGAGAATCAACTACCCTTTTTACCGTCTTCAGACTCAGATTGTCCTCCTGACTTTGGGGGAGGCTAAGTGAGTTCCTCCAGACGGCTTTCTCCACCAGCTCGTGGGCTGTCGGTTCCCTTTCATTTTTTAGTTTGCTGTCAGTAGTACTGACAGGAAAACACGAAAAGTTCTTAACCTAGAGACAGGAGAGTTTTTATGTCATGGAAAATTGAACAGTGGTCCAAAATGAGCGTGCTGGAAGAACTTGATAGATCTAAGACTGGGGTCTTTTGTTTTCTGGTATTTTTGACAAATGGTAGAGGCTTAATTTTGGTATTAGTGAAAAAATAATGGGTGAATGATGAAATATCTAGGTACGCGACATACTGTGGTCAAACTCAGTTCTCTTACTCTCAGTCTGTAAAGTACGCCAGCATTTTTATTGTAGGCCATCTGAAAACTAGTCCGTTGTCATGGAAGAGGCCGGGTCGAGGTGGAGCTGGGCCTGCCTTCCTGAGCCTCTGCAATTTGGAAGTTCAGACCATTTTGTGCTATAGTCTCTGAACACCTTCGCCTGAATATTCTCCTCTCGCTCCGCTGTGTGTGATTACCTGGCTCCCCCTCCAAGAGGAAACGCAGGCTTGAAGTAGAAGAAACCATCTGTGAAGTGGGAGGCCTTGAGCAGCAGTAGGGACGCCTCAGTAACACGAGGCTCTGGGATTGAGGTTCCTCTACTGAAGACTGGTTTTCGTTTTAAAGCCAACAAATACAACTGCGTGAATTGGGTGAGATGCTGTTGAGTTTTGCGTTACAGTGGAAAGAACGCTTTGGGATAGTTTTGAATCATTAAGTTGCGTGATTTTAGTTAACCTTCCTGAGCCTTAGTTTTCTTGGAGGTACACTGGGGGTCAGGGATCCTGTCTGTTGGGGAGGATTGGAAGCCTGCGTTTGACTTTCGCACGTGGAGAACGTGCTCCGTGAATGGAAATGGTATCACTATCACGGGGACGTAGGTTCGGGGCAGCGTACCAGCGACGGGGGCAGCCGGGCTGGGCCGGAAGCGCCCCTGTCTCTGGGCACACGGCAGACGTCTTGGATGACGTCTAGGGGCGTCTTGACCTCATACCCGCTTTAGCGACAGCTTCTTCCCACCCCACTCGTACTGGTATTTGTGCCTCTGGCCTGTACCAGAAAAGCTGAGCGGATGAAATCAGCCGTTTTTACTTGCTGAGTGATTAATGTGAATACACGCCTATCCTGTGTGTTTTCGTGGATTGTTGAATAAGAAACAGTCTCCTATTCAGACAGGAGCGGGTCAGCAGGGAGGAGGCTGAAGGGACAGGAAACCCCTGAGATGCCCACTTTTGAGGGAGGCTTGGAAAGTAAACTTGACTTAGTGTTTTGAGTGAGCAGAGGGGGGTGGCATCCAGAGTGCCAGGCTTCTCCAGACAGCCCTGCTGCGCTTGGGCACTGGTGGGGGACAGTTCCTGAGCCTGAGGGGAGGAGGACTCACCGGTGGGCTCGGGTCGGCCCTGACTGTGCTTCAGGGCCACCCTCGCCTTGCCTTCTATTGTTGCTGGGTGCCAGCTTTGACAGCCTTGATGTTATTTCAGTTGACGTTTACTCTTCGGATTGAAATATCCCTTTGCTGATACTCTGAGCAAATCCCTGTGTTATTTTCACCTCTTGTAATAACACTTCTGAGAAATTACTTTAGGACCAGTCAGTAGGGATTATTGTGTTCAGGCTGGGCCACAGTGTTTAGAATATGAATAGAAAGTGTGCAGACTACTTTGAACCAGGTGGAGTTACCAGATTTAGGGCTGTTTTGGGGGGTCTGCTTGTGAGATGCCAGATGTTTATTAATCTGGATCAGGAATTATCCTTGTAGATGTAATAAAGATCTGGGGGTGTCCATCTGATGTCCCGTAATTTTATTTGTTACAGTTAATGCTCTCTGCTGGGAGCCAGGCTTCCAGGCCGGCCCGTGTCCAGATTTCCCAGTGGGCTTAGCAGGTGGTCTGTGGCCTTGAAGCCGAGCTTCTGGGGAGATGATGGGGAGCCAGGGCAGTGCTCCAAGGAGGAAAGTGCAGTGGGTCCCACTTCTTTTGCTCTTTTGGAATCATCCCAGTGCCCTGCCTGCTTCGTGAGCTCCTGACCCAGGCCCCAGCCTGGCTGGGGCCTGCGAGGACACTGTGGTCCACACTCCAGAGTCCACCACGGGCTCCAGGCGTAGTTCCCGAGGTTGGACTCGTCCAGCCCCTAGCTGGGGCCGGAGTCTGGGGCCGACTGTCCCGTGGGGCCGTTGGCCACGACGCTGTGCTCTCCGTGGGCCTCTATGCAGCCCTGCACGGTCCTGAGGACAGTCTGGAGCCTGCGATCCAGGGCGAGGAGGTGCGGCTCTGTGAGCACAGGCGTGAGCTGGTCTTCCAGCAGCGACTCCCTCATTACATCGCTGAGTCTGTAGTCGGCTTGGGCCAGCAGCTGCAGGTGCGAGAGTGTTTTCCTTTTTATTCTGGAAGGACAAAGTCAGGGGACCAAGTAAGTAAACGTAAAGAAAGAAACTTCTCGAACTTACTTCCTTCCCCGCCGACAGTGGTGGGGGCTGACGTCTGGAGAGCCTTCGCCCCCAGTGTCTTCTCAGGCACGTCTTAATACAAACCCGGTAAGAAGGGAATGGATGAAGGGTGACAGCTATAGGACCTGGCGGTCCTTGGCCCAGTCGTCCCGCCAAGCACCTGCTGCTCCTCGGGGAATCCGGACAGAAGCGCTGTGTAATAATGACTTCTCAAGGAAATTGAAAGCTAACGAGAGAAGTTGCCAGCAGGTGAAATGATGGAGATGTTTGCCGTCTCAGAGGCTGCGGGTACCGCCGGGCTCCAAGTTGTTTCTGCTCGACTTTGTAATTCTGATTTCTCTGTGTCAGATTCTAAAATCAGGGATGGAAATGGGGTAGGGCCAACCTTGCCTTTAGGATTTTGATTTCTTTTTATGTGGGAATGTGACCTGGACTCAGATGTGTAAGCAGCTTAGGTGTCCAGGCATTGTCATACACAACTCCTGCCTTTCCTACTCAGGAGGAGAGGAAGTGGGTAGGGAGGGAGGCACACGTAAGTTACTCCAAGAAGTGGAGAAAGAAAGTTCAGGCTCTGCCCTGAGTTTTCCAGCTGGAAATAGACACCGTTTTGCTATGTGTGGGCCACGTATTTCTAATTAGCTCCGGACACTGCAGCTGAGCAGGTGGACGATCTTGACCAGCTCGGCTGAAACACCAGAGAGGTGTAGAGGCAGGGCAAAGATTCTCTGGAGAAATGCTGGCCAGGCAGAGGCCCGAGGACTTCCTTTAATCTGACATGAGTTTATGGGACTTCAGTCAGGATTTTGCTTAGCTGGTGATCAGGCAGTAATACCTATGAGCTTACGTGAGTGCGGGGCGCAGCAGAGGTCTGGTTAGTCCTGTCAGAGGCCGCCGTCGGGCTCTTCGAAAAGTGAGGGATGATCTGAGTGTGTTATTAAAGCGGGCGACCGAGAGGTTTTAAAAGGTTAGATCCTAAGTCATCTGCTGAGAGATGAAGGTGTGAGAAGTGCTGGGGACAGTTCTGTGGTTGTAGCACAAGGAATGAGGTTGTTCCTGTCATTCTACCCACCCACATCCTCGGCCAGTGAAAACTGATGACCTGCGCAGCTTGGTGGCAAGCAGGACGAAGTGTCACAGTTGTGACCCGTCCCTGAACGGAAAGCTCACCGGCAGCACTGGGAGAGTGGCGAGAGGATGGAGATTTCGTCGTGGGAGTGCCGTCCAAACCTGCAGGGAGGAGAGACAGGCTTTCACGGGGGCACGGGGTGTGTGCGGGGGGGGCAGGCACCACCTCCCGCCTCATTGCTTCCTCCTGCCTCCCCCTCTGCCGTTTTTGAATCCCAGCTTGGGGTAAAATGCCAGGGATCACGGCCGCTGCCTCTCCAGCCCTTCTCCGTCAGGTCACAAGAGCCTCTGTCCACAGCTGGCAAAAGCAAGCATCCGTTCGTTCATTTATGCACCGGCCGCACAGGGCCAAGGCCGAGCACGACGATGATGCGCTGGGTCTCCGGGAGGGGACCGTGGGCGAGTTACAGAAAACGTGGATCTGCTTCCTAGCGCTCTTAGGCTGGAGGAGAGTCAGGCGGTACTCAGCAAAGATCAAGAGCAGAGGAAACGGGGCCAGGAGGGCCCGGAGGGGGCGGGACGCGACCGTGGAGGCCCTGGCTCGGGCCCTGCTGCCCCCGGGGCCGCTGCACAGCGGTGCCGCCGCCGGAGAAGGGCCGTGGGGACGCTCACCCCCTGGCGTTGTCGAGGTGAATCAGGAACCCGTCGTCCCCAAATTTGGTGAACGTCTCGTAGTGGTGCCGGTCCATGTTTCCTGTGGAGGAGGGGAGGCGTGGGCGCGGGCTCCCGCCCTGTGAGACCCCGCGGGGCTCGGAGGCCTGCGGGCTGCTCAGAGGCCGGAGTCGGAACCCGGGCCGCCAGCTGTTGCGCCCCCAGGTGGCCGGTGGAATCGCGGAGGGGGCAGGAGGGAGCCAGGCAGGCGGGCAGAGCCGGTGTGAGCTGCTGTCCCGTCGGGGGCTTTTCCCACCCGCGCCGGCGCCCCTGCGCTGCTCAGGCGCGGCTCCGGGCCGCCTCCCAGGGCGCACAGCGGCCTTCCTGCCGAGCCTTCCGTTCCCCGGGCCGCGCCGCTGCGCCCGCTGTGCGCCTCCCCGCAGCCCCCTAGCAGGAGGGCAGCCCGCTCACTCCTGTCCCCGGGGCCTCTACCACTTGGAGCCCGTGGATGGCGCGAGGTTATGGAGGCCGGGTGGCCCAGGCCGCAGGGTCCCCGCCCGGCCGGGCCCCGCGGGCAGCACCCACCCGTCAGGAAGTCGAAGATGGCCATGTCGATGATGTTGAGGAGGCGGCCGCTGCTGCTGTGCGGGTAGACCTGCTTCACCGTGTCGCAGTAAAGAGGGTTGACTTCCCACCTGAGGGGAGAACAGGGCCTGGGCTGCAGAAGCCCGGACGGCAAGGTGTCCGACCCGCATCCATGCCCCCCGGTCCTGCCCGGGCCGCTGGCGGCAGGCGCCCCCACGAGGACCTGGGCAAGGACCCGCGGGACCGGCAGACGCCCTGGGTGAGAAGGGGTGGGGCCCTTTCTCCGCGCGTTTCCGAGCATCGCCTGGCTGGGCGCCGTACTGCCCGTGTGCCGGGAGGGCACCCGCTCCCTCTGCGGCCCCTCGCCCAGCCTCTCGGGCGCTTGCCCTCCGGTCTCCCGAGCCGCTCGCAGCCCCCCTGCCAGCCATCCTCTGCCATTCCTCTGCCACGTGGGCTCCTCCGCCTAGAACGCCCCCAGGTCCCTTTTCGTCTGGGGGGGGGGTCTTCCTCAGCCTTCACGAGTCCCTAAAGATCTGTCACGTCCCCCAGAAATTCTGGCCCGGTTACTCCTCTTCCCACCACGGTTGGGGTGGCTGGATCGACGAGCCCATTCATTCAGTCACCTCGTATTAACTGAGGACCTGCCCTGTGCCCGGGAGTGTGCCACGCCCTGGGGAACAACCGTGAGGTCCCGGCTTCATGGCGTGGACTCAGCAAACCCGGCCCCTCCCGCGGCCTCCCCGTGGGCATCTCTGCGGGACAGCAGGTGGGCACTGCGTTCTCACAGCCTGGCTACCGTCTGCCGCCCCGCTGGACCGCAGAGCTTCTTGAAGGGACAGCCCAGGTCTGTCCTGTCTCCCCCAGCATCCAGTGCTGGGTACGCAGTGGGCTCTTTATAACCAAACGCATGAACGAAAGGGACAGAACGGACACCAGGATCCACGTGAGACGAGGCAGAGGAGGACTGAGGCAGCGTCAGGGCTCCCCAAGCCAGGCGAGCGAGTCCTTGGTCCAGGGGCCACTCACTCCTCTTTGCCCGCCAGCGAGTAGGAGCGGATCCAAGGGCTGGGGACGGACAGCCGGGGGGCCAAGTTGAGGGACGGCAGGAATGCGGACAGGGAGCCCTCCAGCAGGTGCGGGTTGCCGCATACGGCATACTCCGTCTTGCACAGGTACGGGCACTTGGCGAAGAAACACACGTTGCTGGCTAGAGGCGGAGAAGGAGAGCGGTAAGCGGAGGACGCACGCCGTCCTCCTGCCCCACGAAATCCATGAGGAGGGAAGGGAAGCCCTGAACCCGCGGCTCGGGGGGGAAAAGGCCGGGGAAGAAGAAAACAGCGCCTTTTCCCGATGTAGGGGCTTGTGGATGCTCTTAAACTGAGCATCCTGAGGACCAGCTCTCAAACGTCTGAGTAGAGACGGTGTGGGACCAGCCTTGCTGCATCGCGCCCACGCGACCAACCCGGCTTTTGTTCAGATGGGTGGCATCTGATTCGGGGGCGGCCAGCATCAGAGTTCAGGGCCCAGGCTGGTAAGCATCTCATGTCCAACCGTCTCCCATCCCCAGGTCACCTTGTGTGACGCCCAGGTGGCCCAGGGTGCAAGTGTCTGATGGCAGCATGTAGCCACCTGATAGGGGATGTGGCCACCAGCAGGAGGTCAGACCACACTGGCCAACCACATTCTTAGACCCAGAGTGTTGCTTTGGCCAGAAGCCTACCTGGAGAGATAAAGAAAACACTCTGCAGGATCTCATTCTTGGTGACCTCCAGGATTTCCTTGGTGACATTGACTAGCCTCCCTACGGTCGGTGGTACCCGTCGGAAGTCCAGAATCCTGAAAGAGGGGGAGCCCAGTTCAGATCTGGGGGATGATCCCCCATTAGAAACGGACCTGCTGCGAATTCCCTGGCGGTCCAGTGGTTAGGACTCCGCGCTTCCACTGCAGAGGGCATGTGTTCGATCCCTGGTCGGGGAACTAAGATCCTGCCCGCAAGCCAAGCGGCAGGATCCAAAAAAGAAAAAAAAAGAAATGGACCGGCCTTCTGACCACACCCAGCCGAGGGCGGGGGTCTCCGCAGTGCAGAGCTGACCGTGCCGAGGGCTAGCCTGCATCTAAGGGGCTGGGAGAAGGGGTGGGAAAGGAATCCTTATCCCATGAGGCCTCCTGGGCAAAGCTTCCACCCTCCAAGCTGTGTCCTAGCTCAGTGCTTCTCACGCTCCAGTTTGCACATGAGTCACGCGCAATCTTGTTCAGATGCAGCTCTGAGTCAGTGGGTCCAGGGTGAGGCTGAGAGTCTGCATTTCTGAAGAGCTCCCAGGGGGTGGCCAGGCTGCTGGTCCCCAGACCACACCTCGAGTAGCAACGACAGGCAAACAGAGGGAGCTAGGAAATTGAGGAAGGTGCTCTCACCTTTTAATATCGTAACCTTGAGACCCTTTGGGGAAATGGCCGTGGGCACATTCTCGCCATTTTCAGGGCAGGAAACTAGAGCCAGATCACAATGTCAGGTTCAGGTGTAGCTTGGGCAGTCTGGCAGGGTTAGTTTTCTTACTAAGTGACTCTTTTCATTACATTAAAAGGCCTTGTGGGGCTTCCCTGGTGGTGCAGTGGTGAAGAATCCGCCTGCCAATGCAGGGGACACGGGTTCGAACCCTGCTCTGGGAAGGTCCCACATGCTGCGGAGGAACTAAGCCCGTGCACCACAACTTCTGAGCCTGCGTGCCTTAGAGCCCGTGAGCTGTAACTGCTGAGCCTGTGAGCCGCGACTACTGAGCCCGTGTGCCACAACTACTGAGCCTGCACTCTAGAGCGCACGAGCCACAACTACTGAAGCCCGCGTGCCTAGAGCCCGTGCTCCGCAATAAGAGAAGCCACCGCATTGAGAGGCCCCCGCTCGCTGCAACTAGAGAAAGCCCGTGCACAGCAACAAAGACCAGCAACACAGCCAAATATAAAATAAATAAATAACAAAAAGGCCTTGTGATTTTCGATCCATGGGGCTGGATGGGTCATGTTGGGTTTGAAGGTGTTGGGACCCACGAAGAAGATGAAGTACCAGGAAGAAGTGGGGGCGGGCCGGGTCTCCCTGGGGCGCCCTCTGGGGATTGGCCTCCGCACTCAGCGCCGCCTCCCTGGGGCCAGACCCTACCTGTCCAGATGGAAAGCTGCAATCTCAGCGTTGTGTCTCTGAAAATCAATGAAGTAGAAGAAGTCCTCGGGCGTCTCTTCATCTCGCAGCTGTCTGAAAGGAAGGAATCACGCCCTGGACTCAGACCTCAGCTGGGAGCCTGAGAAAAGAGCTGACACACGTGACCAGACAGAAAGGAAGACACGCTTTTATGCTTTTCAGGGATGCACAGATGATGGGACAGCACATCAGGAACAGCCCGTGGCTCCCTCGGCTGGGGAGACCGGCAGGCGGGAGGAGCGAAGCTTCTTGCAAGATGCGGACCATCCTGGAGGCCCCCGGGTGCCAAGCCTCCTTCTCGAGCAGCTCTGGTGACGGCCGCTGATTCTCTGAAAAGCCCAGTGGTTGGAGGGAAGAAATCCATTCTTCCGCAGATACACAGAAGACAGGGCACTGGCTAACACACCAGAGGTTGTGTACACCCGGGGGCCAAGGATTAAGAGAGGTGGGGTACGAGACAGAACTTTATAAAAGGAAAAGTGCCCTACAGGTGCAATTTAGCATGACTGACACGGAAGAGCGAAAAGTTCTGGGTCTGTGAATCGACCGTCTACTCGGAGGCACCTCACCTGGGTCGTGAGAGCGGGTCCTGCCAGAGATTGAAGGGAGGCTAATGCAGAGGATATGTACTTATGTACATTAAAGAATCCCTACTAGATTCCTGAAAAGCACCATCCTGCCTGGTCATGAAGGGCTGGCTGGGTAGGTATGTTTAGGTGCCTCCCAGGAATATGAAGGGCATCCTGGCTGCTGCCCCAGGTTGACTGGCCCCAGTGCTGACGATAATCCTTGGAAGAAGGATGATCTTCAAGTAATTTTATAATCCACCGTGCGGGGCTGCACGAGGGCTGTGAAAGCAATGTAAATGTAAATCAGCGTAATGTTGTGTAATGAGCTGTAAGTACGCAGCACCCGCAATGGAAACAGTGATGGGCGCTTCGTCCCAAACACCAGCCAGTCCTGGAAGCCACGGCAAGGGGCTGCCCAGAGTGGGCACTCTCCTTTAGAAGGTGCAGCCGCACTTAGAGTACGGCCCAGGCCTGACCCAGGGCTGCTTACAGCATCGCCGAATGTCCAGGTCAGCAAGGACTGTCCATGTGTCCTCAGCTCGTTTTCATTCCTGAATTCTGTATGTAAGAATACACAGTCTGGGAATTCCCTGGCGGTCCAGTGTTTAGGACCCGGCACTTTCACTGCTGCGACCCAAGGGTTTAACCCCTGGCCAGGAAAAAAAAAAAAAAAAAAAGGTAAAGAAAAAATAAAAATTAAAAAAAAGAGAGAATACACAATCTCTGGGATGCCCTTTAGAATTTTCTAAACCATCATTTCTTCATTTTTGTATGGCATATTTAGGCATGATTTTAAATTTGAAAATCATTTCTCCTTTACGTCAGTACTTCCCAAAGAAGCACAGATGTATTTCTCATTGCATCTATTGAATTATATCACATTAAAAATATAATCTTTGTGGTCAGAATTTGTATTACCCAAAGATAAATTTCTACTTTCCTTTTCTAAAAAAGGACAAATGCTGTTTACTTTACATTACTCGTAGGAAAAAAATGCATGCTTTTTCAAGAAATACATTTTAAAATGATACTTTGGCTTGGGACTAAATTTTAGAAAATGCAGATTAAACTTTGTGTTATGGCGTGAGCGTAGATCAAATGGCTTTTGTGACCTAATGTTGGAAGCTTTTGCATTACACTCAGGGAAACAGCTGGTTCAGTTGAGCACTTTTTGCGTTTTGTTCGTAATTGACAAGGCAGAGAAGAGATTTCAGGCTGTTATTTCATGGGCTTTCTTGCAAATAAAACACTACAAGTGTGAGTCGTTTTTTCTCCCCCAAATAGAGCTCATCCACCCTCTATTAGCTTCCAGTTTTTAAAATGACAGACATTTTCATGTGCCACATACGAATTCTGCTCAGAGAGTGCAATGCGTGGATGTGGCGATAAATGGTGAATTCGCAGATTTATCATTATTTTGACGCTTCTCTTTAACATCTCGTGTTTCTACATCAGTGTTCCTTCTGCTTCCTCTCTAACTGATGCTCAGTTAGGACTATACATTAAACATGCACGACTAACCATAACGATCATTTAAAACTCTCCAATGGCCCAAACACGTCGGTGGCTCTGTGTCCAGCTGAGTGGCACCCAAGAATTTGTGCCTGCTTCTGGACCGGGGCTGATGGCCCTGTGTGCGCAAAGCTGTCGCTCTCTTTTAAAAGGAACACAGTTCTTTTTAGTACTTTATAGGCTTGAATATAAGATGAGACCCCCCCCTCCCCAAACTGTCCCTCAGAAAAGGGAGTCTTAACGTATTCAAGGGCTCCCTCTCAATTTCTTTATTTTGTTTGGGACAGATTCATTCAGCTGAGATGCTGCTTCTATTACCTGACTGAACTGGTTAAAACAGGCTGCTGGTGGTGACAGGGGCAGAATTTAACATGGATTTAACATTGACCCCAAACTCGACTCCAGCGATGCTGAGGACCAATGTCAAAAATTTTGGACAAGTGACATGTGAGACTGGGTGGGGGGGAAGCAATATTTCCAAATCTCTGTATTGTTTTATATGATGAGATTTTTTTTCATCGGTAAATTAAATACAGGCAGACATTCCCTCGTTTCATGTACATCGTTTTATATATATATATATATATTTATTTATTTATTTATTTATTTATTTATTTTGTAGTACTCCATCTGTTTCTTTTCTTTTCTTTTTTTTCAGTACGCGGGCCTCTCACTGTTGTGGCCTCTCCCGTTACGGAGCACAGGCTCCGGACGCGCAGGCCCAGCGGCCATGGCTCACAGGCCCAGCCGCTCCGCGGCATGTGGGATCTTCCCGGACCGGGGCATGAACCCGCGTCCCCTGCCTCGGCAGGCGGACTCCCAACCCCTGCGCCACCAGGGAAGCCCTGTTTCTTTTCTTTTTTGAATTTTATTTCTTTTTAATGCAGTAGGTTCTTATTAGTTATCTATTTTATACATATTAGTGTATATATGTCGATCTCAATCTCCCAATATATCGTTATTTATTTAAATTGACCAAACAACTAGATTTTTGGATTTTCACATGGAAAAATGGAGGATCTCCTTGTGTGGCAGTGGTTTTCAAGGCTGTCCTTGCCTTGGGATTAGAGGGGGCCCCCAGACCAATCCTATTGGACCCCCTGAGGGTAGGATTCAGGCATCGGGGTTTTTCAAGGCTTCCGAAGTGATTCAACACACAGCTGATGTATTATAAATCTCTCCTTAGTACTTTATATGCCTAAGTATGTAAGTGCTTAGTGCTTTATAAGGGGTTTTGCTAGGGCAGTGCAGGGATCAGAGCTAAGGCTTTTTATTTAGTGCTCATTCGACCATCAGACCCACCTACAGGGCCTTCAGTATGCCTCTCCGCTGACGGAAGCTTTGGAATCTAAGTCAGCCGAATGGGATTCCACCGGAAGACCGCGCCTTCTGGCAGAAAGCATGACTTGGGTAATGAGACCCCCTCCTGGGCCATTTTCTCTTGGGCGTGTCGTGTCCAGGGGACCATTCCTGATTCAGGAATCTCAAACCTCTGCTGCAGACCCTTTGGGGGCCAGGAACCCATACGCACACCAAGCTCTGTCTGTAGACTGAATACCTATTATTTCACCCACATAGACACACTACAAAATTTTAAAGGCATGTATTTGCTGTTGTTACGAATAAAATAGAAATTAATTTAAAAGTGTGATTGGCTGTAGAGAACAAACGTATGGACACCAAGTGGGGAAAGCCGGGAGGGGGGTGATGGTGGTGGGGTGAACTGGGAGATTGGGATTGACATGTATACACTAATATGTATAAAATAGATAACTAGTAAGAACCTGCTGTATAAAAAATAAATACATAAAATTTAAAAAAAAAGTGTGATTGGCTTTAGGGTAGCCTTTCTTCATGGTCCAGTTTTTCAACCAAAACAAGTATTATTATGCAGATATCTCTAAACTTTTATGAGGGTCCTAGCCCTGGAAAAAAGCGAGGCTCATTTCTGGAGGTGGAGTGTGAATTTGGCAGTCCAGCTGCCTGGTTTGAATCCTGCTTCCACTGCTTGTAGCTGGGAGGTTGGGGCAAGCTGGCCTCTCCCGGCCTCAGTGTTTTCATCCATAAAGTGGACATTGTAACAGTCCCCGACTCATAAGATGGTTGATGATCCAAAGGCACAATGCATGTCAAGTGTGTAGCAGAAATACTAGCAAAGACCCAGCTCTTACTATTTTGAATCATTATCACCAAAACAGTTGTATGCTTGTGCAGATGGCCCCAAAGAGAGTCTCTAAATGCTTGGCTTAAAGATTTTAGACCACTTTTATTCATTTTTGGTCAGAACTCCCCCAGGGCTGCCACAGCTATGCATATGGAGGTGAGGAGAGCAGTCACTTACCTCATAGGTTTGAACATGGCCTTCCCGAAGTCCGAGAACCTCAGAACCAGTTTGAGGTGGACCCCACTGGGTTTCACGACTGTTTGGGGAGAAGGGGGAGTTAACGATGCTTCTGGGCCCAAGGTCCGGGCTGTGATCATTTCCTCATTCAATAAACCCAGCCCATTTCTTCTCTTCGCCCTTCTTACTTGAGACCCTAAAGAGTTGGATTTGCTCTCAGAGCCTGCAGGGTACAGTCCAGCGGGTCAGGCCATGGAGAGTGTGTCCAGCGACTCAAGATAAAACTTTCTCTGCTGTTACAGGGCAAGGGCAAAACAGTGCAGGTTTCCCCAGAGGGACACTCGCTGAAAACCCCAAAGGATGTTTTCCTAAGAAGAGCTGACCCCTTCCTCTTCGCTTCAGCTGTGCCTTAGAGACTCTGACTATGCCACCTGTTACATGGCATTGGACTTGGTTATTGATATCTCTTCCTACGTAAGACTGGACACCTGGGCTGTGATGGGGCTTGGTGACACCTGAGGTGCACGTGCATGGTCCTGCCACTGGGTACCGCCTCCTGATGTGTGTCCTGGGCACCTCACTCGCCTGGCCCTGCCCCTGCCCTGCCGTCAGCCCCGCGAGGGGCGGGATAATGCCTCCCTCACCTTTGCCTTCTAAAAAATGGCAAATGGCAGGGGCGAAACTAAAGAAAACGGAAGCCCCAGGCCCTACAAACTTGTGTCTTTAACAAGTCGTGACCCACGGAAATTTCTGACGTGTGCTCAGTTCATCGAGGTCACTGGAGGGGGCTCCTCGTGGCCGGCAGTGACTGGTGGGATCTCAGTGTCCAGGCACACCTGCACCCAAGTCACAGCGTCCTGGCAGGGACCGTGCTGTATCTCACACCTATCCTTTTGATTCTACTCATCATTTACCCCAGGGCGTCTCAACCTTGGCTGCATGAGGATCACCTGGAGTGTTTTTATATAAAATGCTGGTGCCTGGGCTTCCCCCTGGCAATCGAATCAAAACCCCTGGGGTGGGGACCAAGACGCAGCAATTTTTAAAGCTCCCTGGGTGGCTACTCTGCCGCCGGGTTGAGAACCACCGTCCTGCACCGTTGCTTCTTAAATCTGAAAATGTACTCTAGTCCCCTGAGGATTTTGTGCAAATCCAGATTCTGACTCAGAAAATCAGGGCGGGGACTGAGATTCTGCGTTTCTGGCAAGCTCCTGGATGGTACGGAAGATGCTGGGCCAATGACCACCTGCCACCCAGCAGAGTCCTACCCAAGAGCTCCTCTTAAATGCCTTTTCTTTTGTACGGGAAGGTGGGGAGAAATGTAGGTTCTCAGAGATGAGGCAGAGGGACCCATGCTCCTCAGCTGCTGACGGAGCCCCACGGAGTGGGCAGTGGGACCTTCACGTTGCTCCCAGGTACTGGGCTTCACAGGGCAGTGAGGGGATGGAGGGGGATGTAGGGGGGGCAGGGCGGGGGCGGGGCCAGGGCATGGGCGTGGCGTGGCCGGGGCCAGGGCCCGGGGGTTGTGGCCGTGGCCGGGGCCGGGGGCCGGGGGCGGGGGGGGGGGCGGGGCAGGGGGGGGGGGGGCGGGGGGGGGGCCGGGGCCGGGCCACTTACTCTGGGTGCAGTCGCAGGCTCCAAGCAAGGCTTTCTCGTCCTGACTGTAGTCTGCAAAGGAGGAGCAGGGCGCTGAGAACCCTCGACTCTGGTTCAGACACCAGAGGGGGAGCCTGGAAGGCAGCCTGGGGCCCTTGCGCATTCAATAGGGGACCTCCCTGAGCCCCATTTGGGGCCGCAGCCTCCCAGCCTGCTCCATCCAGGCCCCACGCTCTCTAGCCCTTCCGTGGACGCTCCAGCAACAGCTGGTGGGGAAACCAGTGCTGGCTGGTGTCTGCAGATCCCTCAGTGTGTCCCTTAGGCTGGCGTAGTGCTTGAGGCCTCAGGCAGCAGGCCACCACTGGGTCCTCAGCCAGGTCACTTTTAAACTCTCCGAGCCTCAGTTTTCCCATCTGTAAAGCGGCAGTGATAATGTCTACATCATGAGATCACTGTATAAGAGAGAGTCGCCAGATTCAAAAGGAGCAGTGGATCAGTAGTGGCCATCACCTTTCTGTAAGCTACGGACACCTCCTGTGCGTCCCTTATGGGGTTGTGATGAGATCACGGTTATAAGATCTCTTTCAAAGGGAAAAAGGTCACTGTGTTTTTCTGCTTCTTTCTCTCTTGGGTGTCAGAACCAACCCTTTACTACTTCACCCTGGAGCCTGGCCTGGTTGGGTTACCCAGCCTCTCTGGGAGAGAGTCGGTCCATCCCGCCTGGTCCTGTGACCCTCACCAGCGCTGATGGTGGGAAGGTGCCTCATGTCGTGGAGAAGTTTGCTGACGACAGGACTGGACCGGGAGTACAGGCCGTGGCGGCTGATCCCCAGGTGGAACTGGATCCAGCTGGTCTCCAGGCGGAGCTGCAGTGGGGGATCCAGGGAAGTGAGATTCAGCTGCTCTTTGTATATCCTGTGTCGCCTGAAAGAGCCGGAAGAGTTTTTCTTCAGCTGCGGGAACAAGAGAGCAAAGACCTGCCGAAGCGCCTCGTCTGGCACCTGATATGTATGAGGCTTGAGGCTGTGCTTAGGGTACCATGGGGGACAAAGGCAGCCACAGGGCTTCCCTGCCCTCAGAGAGTTTACAATCCAGTGAGCGAAACAGGCAAACAGTTACACAGTGCCACACACACATCCGCAAATACCTAACCACAGACCGCGACGAATACTGTGAAGGAAAAGCGCAGACGGTTAAGAGTCAAATTAGGGGCCTCGTATAATCTGGGATCTCAGGGCGTGATCCTGGGCCGCTTCCAGCACTTTCCCATGAAAAAGTCTGTATTTTATACTTCCCAATATTTCCTGACCTTAGGAGTCAGGAGGTAGGAGAGAGAAGGTAATTGATGAGAATGAAAAGAATGAGGGTCAGGATTGTTAAGGAGAGCTGGAAGCTGAGTGAGATTAATCAATACGTCCTATGAGAAAAGGAGATTAATTAGCCATGTGCTGTTGGTCCTGCTTAGGAAACTTTCCTGCCAGGATAAAAAGAAAAAGCTGAAAAACAATGCCACTGCCGCGCAGAGGCTCAGAGCCCAGTCTGGGAGACAAGCGGTACGTCTATGAAATCATCAGAGCAGAATATAAGGCAGTTGTATTCAACTGCTGGACATGTGTTCAGACAAAAATGCCTTAACATTTTGGGGAAGGGAAAGACGATTATATGGTGAAGTAGTCAGAGGAAGACTCCGATGGGAGAAAGTGGGCTTCAGCTGGATCCACATGGGTGGTGTTTGGATTGAAGGGGAGATGTGGGGTGTGCTCCTGGATTGGGGACAACATGGACATTACGAGAGGCAGGCGAGGGACAGGTATAGCTGAGGATTAGAGACGAAGGATGGATAAAATAGATGGCTGAGTGAACAGATGGAGGTCGTCTGACTGGAAAGCATGGCAAGTCGGCACATGTCATCTGACGAGGTGAAGCTCACCGGGACGGGCTAGGTGGGATTATGGGGCAGGGTTTGCGAGTCCCTATACATCCGTATTTATCAAACCATGATACCTTACCTCTGAGGTCTGTGATGGGGTACATAACAAAACAAACACGGCCGATATTCTTGGCATGTCAAATGTTCTCACTGGTAAATAGTTTTTAAAATTACTTTTATATTAAAATAAATATAGACACGTTATGGGGAGGGAAATGAAACAATCACTTTTAATAAAAAAACAGTAGTTTTCCAAGAAAATTTCACTTGGTCACCTCAGACTTTACGTCCAAGAGTCCAGACCCTCAGGAGGGAATGGAGTTTTGTTTTGTTTTTTTTGTTCTGCACTCACCTCGCCCTGTGTGAATACAGTCAAATAATAACGCTGTCCTGGGTGAAAGTCATTTGTCTTGAGGAAGAGGCTCAGGTTTATAAACTGATGTGGAAGGATGGATGTCTGGCAGCTCTTGGTCCTAGCCTTCTTGGTACCTGCTCCAGGGTCCTGGTGGCCTCTGGGTGCCCCTACTTTTGGAGACCTTCGCCTTTTATCATGTCACACATATTAAAATCCACCCCTCATTCAATATTTTTTGCTATCCCTTTTGAAAGTTTTCTTTTATCATTCTGAATCTGTTAAGAATAAAGTATCAAAATAAACAAACAACAACAACAAAGAATATAGTATCTAGTAGTATAACCAAGTCAACACTGGCTCATTGTTCTGTGGACATTTAATTATATATTAATTCATTTTGGTTTGGAGTTTTGGGTTATTTTTTTTTTTCCATTTCTGAGCCAATCCATTTTCTTTGTTCAGGCCTCAGAGCATCGTCAAAGCTTTTGTATGTCTCAGGCACCATGTCCACATTGTAAATGGATGAAGATCCCTGACCTACTGTCTCTGTCAGCTCAGGCTGCACAAACAAAATTCCACAGGCTGGTGGTTCAAACAACAGGAATTTATTCTCTCACAGGTCTGGAGGCTCAAGTCAAGATCAAGGTGTTGCCAGGTTTGGTTTTTCCTGCAACCTCTCTCCTTAGCTTGCAGACGGCCACCTTCTTTCTTGTTGTCTCCTGCCACGGTCTCCTCTCTTGAGGACACATCTCCGGTGTCTCCTCCTTTTCTTATAAGGACACGGGTCCTATTGGATTAGGGCCCCACCCTGTTGCTCTTTCTTCCAGACTCTTACTGCCACGGTCCTTCCTAGAGAAACAGCTCCATTGGCTCGATCAGATGAGTCGTCCTGGGACGACCCTTTTTTCCTCTCCTTCAATCTGTCGCTTCGTATTTTCTATTATTCAAGCCATAATTCTGAAAATAGCCAACCGGAAAGAAAGATCTGGTGGAGGTGAGTTCCAGACTGTGACACAACATTATGGTTGAGAACAAGGACGCGCAAACCAGGTGGAGCAGACTCAAAAGGAAGGCTTGGACCAAAGAAGCCAAGTCTGTCGGATAATGAGCTCGGGCTTGGAAGGGATCTGAAAGACCCTTGAACCCAACGTGTTATTCCATTTACCACATTCCTATCCAGGAGTTGCCTATTTTGTACTTGATCAGCTCCAGTGAAGCAGATGTACCACATCCAGAGTAGCCCAATCCATCCGGCCAGCTCTATTAGGAAGCATGTTCCAATTCCGGGCCAAAGTCTTTCTGGAGCTTCCATCAAGGAGTCCTGGCTGTATCCCCTGGATTTATGCAGAACAAATCCCTTCCTTACATTGTAGCCTTGTAAATATTTGAAGATGGATGTCACGTGACCTCAGTTCCCATCTTCAGGTTGAGCTTCTGCATTCCCTTCACCACCTTCCCAGGCCACGGTGTGATCCATTTGTGATTTTGGTTATGTGGGTCTGTTTCCCTCTTCTTTTTTTTTTCTTTTTAAAAATATTTATTTAATTGGCTGCATTGGGTCTTCCTTTCGGCACTCGGGATCTTTTGTTGCGGCACGCGTGGGCTCTGGAGCACACGGGCTCAGCAATTGCAGCGTGTGGGCTTAGTTGCCCCGCGGCATGTGGGATCTTAGTTCCCCGACCAGGGATCGAACCTGCGTCCCCTGCACTGGAAGGCAGATTCTTAACCCCTGGACCACCAGGGAAGTCCCACTTCCCTCTTATTTCTGACACCCAGAATGAAATGCAAGAGCCCAACATGGATTGTCCAGTGCAGAGCAGAAGAGGATAATTACCACCCCCATTCAAGATGTTTTCTTCCTATTAAGGTAGTCAAATAATGAATAAATGTGGAGAAACCACATCACATGTCTCTGAGAAAATAGAGATGTTGTGGCTGGCAGAATTCTAGAACTGGCCTTCAAGGTTCCACGCCCTCATCGCTAGAACCTGTGAACATGATGACCTGTCACTCCCAGGATTATTCTATGTTGTGGCACAGTTGACCGGGGGTGAGGAGATGAACCAGCAGGGCCTAATGTAGTTACATGACTCTTGAAAGCAGAGTTTTCTCTGGCTGGTAGCAGAAGGAACCGAAATGTCTGTCGATGGATGAATGGATAAAGAAAATGTGGTATATACACACAATGGAAGATTATTCAGCTTTACAAAAGAAGGAAATCCTGCCTTTTGCAACAATATCAGTGCACCTGGAGGACATTAAGCCGAGTGAAATAAGCCAGATACAGCAAGACAGACACTGAGTGATCTCACTTCTATGTGGACTCTGAAAAAGTCAAATTTAATAGCAGCAGAGAGAACAGTGGTTGCTAGGGGCTGGAGGGAGGGGGAAGTGGGGGGATAGTGGTCAAAGGGTGCAAAGTTTCAGCTGTGCAGGATGAATAACCCCTGGGGATCTAATATACAGCATGGCGACTCTAGTTAATCACACTGTACTGTATGCTTAAAATTTACTAGAAGTGTAGGAGATCTTTGTTCTCCAAAAGGAGGGGAGAAAAGATGGCTGGGACGTCCCCCCAAGACAGCAAGCTCTGGGCAGGCAGCCTTCCAGCTGGGGGTGGAGGGGAGGCTTGAACTATTGGTGTAATTATCCAAAGTGTCTCCTGTTAAACTGCTTCAGTCCTAGCAGTTTACTAGGTCTGCAGGCCACCGGCCAGCTTTTCTTTACTTTATGCACATTTATTTTTATTTTAAAAGAGAGCCGGGCCAGGCTCCAGTTCCCAAGGCTACTCTGAGGCTTAAACTCTGGGACTGCTCGACTCTCTTGGGAGTCTGGTGGAAAGACTGCAAAGTCCTGAGCTGAGTTAGTCACCCTGAGCTAGAGCAGCAGAAAGAGAAACAATGATTCTGGGATTTGGAACAGGGCTGGGGAAGAGGTGGGGTTTTCTTAAGCGGAGCTGCAAGCTGATGGGTTCCAGCTACAACAACAGTCCAACAGCCGGGGCTCCAGCCTCCAAAGAGAAAAACAAATGTGGCAAATTGAGTGTAACTTCCTCAGGAGGACAAATCGCTCTTAAAACGTTCGTATTTACTGTTGGGTGGGGATGCATAGCTCTCTGGTTAGCGATTCTGCCCTTCCCAGGGCCAGTGTCACAGCCTGGGCGGGGGCGGGGTGGGGGAGCACAAAGAAAGGGCATCACGGGGTCCTTCCCACTGGGTTTTTTTTTGTTTTTTTTGCGGTACGCGGGCCTACTCATTGTCGTGGCCTCTCCCGTTGCGGAGCACAGGCTCCCGACGCGCAGGCTCAGCGGCCATGGCTCACGGGCCCAGCCGCTCCGCGGCATGTGGGATCCTCCCGGACCGGGGCACGAACCCGCATTCCTGCATCGTTAGGTGGACTCTCAACCACTGCGCCATCAGGGAAGTCCCCGGTTTGGGGTTTATTTTTAATGGTTAAAGTAGAGCTGTTGAGAATTTTCTTTTTTTTTTTTTTTTTAATCAGAAACGTTGTCTGTGTGCCCTTTGTTCCTTGGGGACAACCAGCAGGGGTGTGCTGGAGCTGGCTTGGACAGGTAGCTTGACATCTGCCGTCGTGGGAGAATTTACACCATGGAAACTGGCAAATGTGACAGGTCGGGGC